GAGTCTGCTAGAGTTACTGCTTTATGTAACTGTGATGTTTCTTGTTTCTTGTAGAAAAACTCTTGCAGTGACTGTATTTGTTTGTAGTGAAAGTTAACTATGTCAATCAGGCCACGTCCGTCTTCTTTACGTGGAAGGGTTAATCTTTCTGTGGCGGATTTAGGATTATTATTATTACAATTACACTTTAATTTCACTAGACCTGCTGAATTCATTTTTTCTTTAATTTGTTTGTTCTTTTTTCTACCTTTTAAATTTTAGTTTTAGTTAATATGGGTGCTAGTTGATGTCCTACTTGTTAAAATTTTTCTTTTTGTTTTTCAAATAGTTCTTTAATTAATGTACAGAAATTTATAAAAATTATTTTTATCTAATTTTATATTTTTATATAAAATTTTAAATTTTCATATAAATTTTTTCAAATTATACAAAAATGAAAGTGAGTTACAAAATTTTCTAACAAAGTGAAAAATTAAGATGTTTTCACTTTCTTAGAGATTGATTAATGTATTTCAATGAATCAATATAATATTTGATTGATGTTTGGTACAATAATCTCTTAGGCTACACTGTTTAGATTATGAGGACATATTTTGTGTAGTACATTGTACTGCTTATAATTCTATGCATATTAAGATGGTAGTGTAAAAAATGCATACTATAAAATAAAGTAGTAAAATAATCAAAAAAAGGATAAAGGTAATACAACGTTCTTTTATGAAGAAGTGGAATTTGGCTTTATTCTGAACATTCAAAAGATAGTCTGATTTTCAGAATAGCTATGTTTGAATAGCAAGAAAACTGAACCTTAGTATTTTTACCATTCACAGGATAATTACTTTGAGATTGTACACAATATTTGTTTAGTAACTTGTTTTAAAACATATTTTGTTGACATTCTTTTAAAATATTGGTAGATAATTAAAAGTGAATTGTTTTATGAATTTTTACAGTTTAGCTTAATAATTCTTAAGTGTTGTGGTTTTATTTGATGATTTTAATATTAAAAAATTAGCAAATTAAAAAAAAGTTAAAAATTTTTTTTCCTTTTTGAACTATTGATAGCAAATTACACAAAAATCTTGAGCTATGTATATTGATTTGTATTAGACTATATTGGGTGGGCAATCCTTTGCATGTGTGCCACATATAGCATGCCAATGACTTTCTTCTATTAGGCAACCCAAGGTTCACTTTTTAAAAATAAATATCCAACATATTTGCTAAGTTGTATATTTTAACTTAATAGAATACAAATTTGTTGAGGAGAGCAATACTAAATAAAAAACAATAAAGAAACAAACACTATGAACTGTTTTAGTAATATGTAATAAGAAAGTGAAACAGATATCTTGGAAATAGGGTATTTATCTTTGTGATATACTGACTTACAAGCACAGTAGCCAATTTAGAAAATTTGCTAAATCTGGCTTTCTCATAGCATCATCTAGCCACTATACCAAACACTAATAATTTCCCAAAACTTTTGGTTAGCATGTGAGAAAATTCTGCATCATAGATTTGGAGATTTTGGGACATGCACACTTAAAAAGTTTTCCATTCCTGGTTTATATTAGAGAGTAAGACACAGATTTATAATTTGTAACAAAATTTAAAAATTATTTTTTGTAATTTATTGAAATTTTTAAACTAAAATACTTTTTATTTTTCAGCTCCTTGTGAAATAATTCATGATATTTTGATTCATGTGGTCAAACAAAATGTTAATAAAAGTTGTAAACTTGGATATTTAAATAGTCTTGTCAGATATTGCAATAAAATTGGACCTGATCAAGAACTTGGATTTTCAAAAGAAGAATTGTTTTGTTGGTAACTGTGTTGTTTCCATTTTTAATTTTTTTATGTATATTTTTGTAGTTAGTTGATACTAGCTTTGTAACAATATTATTATGATAAAATAAGTTATTGTAGAATATTTTATAATTTATTTACATAAATTATATTGTATGTTGTTTAACATGTTGAATATTACCTTAAATATTAGCATTGATGTCTGATTTCGTGTTACATATATCATAAATTGCAGCATAATTTGATCTCAATATTTTTAACTCATAATTCTGATTTAGACTTATATTTCCTTAATAATTCAACACACAACTAAACAATAGTCTAGAAGTGACATGTGAGTAAGGTTTGTAGGATTTCTATCAGACATATATAAGATTTTTCTGGCTTAAAAAGTTTACTTGGGTTGCATTTTATGGTTATTTATATACAAAAAACAGTGTCTTAAGTATATTAAGTATTAAGTAGGCAATTTTTTAGTAACTTCCTAAATTAACATACCTGTGACATATATGTGAATTTTCAGTTATGTAAGGGGTCTTGGAACTTATTGGTTGTGTATAGCAAGGACTTATTGTATAAATAGAAGCATATTTTAGACTGATCTTATTATAAGAGAACAAATATGAGCTATGTGATATCAATTCTCAATTGATGGAGTATTTGTTACACAGTTTAATTGAATGACAGAATTTCAGTAAATAAATCTTTTTTATCCAAATACTTTTAGTCATATTCTATCTAGTCCAATATAGATTCATTCTCTACATAATTCAATAAATTTTATACTTATAAAAAGTTATTTCTTCATATATTATTATGTTCTTTGAGATATATGTTAAATATTTAAAATAACATTTAGGTGTATAAAAAATATAATTAGTATATGCTTCCTTCATATAATTTAATTATTTTTTAGGAAAACTACATTGAGCTCCATGGCATAGTTTTTCTGTTTCGTCTTCATACAAAAACAAATGTGGTGACATGCTTTTTGAACTCTATCTAAAGCAGTTTAAAACATGCAGGTTTCAGAAGAGCTTGTATATCCAATGTCATAATTGATAAAAGCATTAAAAAACATTTAGAATACCCATATGTGTGACTGGTGGCCTACCAACTCCAGCAACTGGTTAAATCATGCATATGTGCAGCCACAGGCTATGCTTGTTAAATGTCTGTCATAAAGATTAAAAGAAAAAATTGTTGTAGAGTTCATTGTAAATTGATGGCAATCGAAAACTCAATTAACATGTAGCATGCAACCTGCTTATAAGTGGCAATTGACCCATAGATTTTACATGGTGAACTTTGACCTTGAACATCTCGGTCTATTGACCAAATTTCAAAATTCTGACTTTGCCATAACATTGGCCTTGCCAAGTTGTACATATTTGCAAAAATCATGTTTAGTGATTGTGTGGTTGCTTTAAACTTCAATCTGACAAAACACTTTGACTTATGCAGACCTTTGCTTATGCTTTGCTCAATAACATTCTTTTTTGCTAAATGTTTCCAATTGTATATAAAAGTACAGATATCTAATGTTTTATTTATGTTGTTGTTAAACATTATTGATATCTAATGTTTTTTCTTTATTTTTATGGACCAGATACATAATTAATAAAATGAAGATGACAACTATTAGTGTTTATAGTCTGTGTATTTGAGTTCCAAATTTATTCATTTGTTTGAATTTTTATATCTTTTTTTAAAAAAAAAATAAAATTTTGGGGATCACTTTTCCCCCCTCTGGATATATAACAGCCAGAAAAGTAATAATCTGAAACAATTTAGATCATTATTTTGATTTTCATAGTAGTTGAAGTTGCTGTTTGAAATTTTTACTAATTTATATCAATCTAGTATAAAATATTCCACAAATAAATACAATTAGGTTTTTGATTTTATTTTCAATTAAAAAAATTATTGTTGAACTAATTTTCAACAATAATTTTTCTAACTCTTCTAAAATAAAAAATAATGTTATTGAAGGATTATTTATTGTATAAACGAAAGTATTCTAATAACTTAAATGACTGGGTATGTTTTGTTTATAACTCTAGTTTTAAATTCTGGTTCTGATTTGTTTTATTTAGAATCAATTTTCATGTTTAATTATTTGTTAGAAAACAGAGTTAAAAGAAATATATTTTATATTTATTAAATTTTGAAAATTATAATTAGTTTTAACGTCAGTAAAACTAAACTAAAATTATCAAATTGGATTAAAAAAATTTATGAAACCATATATAATTAATGTAAATTCATAAAATTCGTATAAATCAAAAAGTAATAACCGTTTTAATGAGAGTGAATTCAAAAATAGAAGGGATACACATACTAGTAACTGACTGTTGCTTCAAGATCATTTGCTAAAGTTAGTATCACATAAATGACTTTTAACATCTTATTTAGCATTACTTATGGGGTATAGTGAGGAAGCATATTATGTATGTAGTGTGTGTGTTTTTTAGCATCCATTCTATTTAATTAGATTTTTTGTTTTTATAGTCAAACTCACAATGTTGTGATGCACACAGCACCAGATGATGATTTGATTGTTTTATTTAATTTTATTCTTATTCACACAATCATATAAATAAACCAAAGCAATTTATTGCTGAATAAACAGAACTTGCTTTTGTTTTCAATAAGCATTTTTGAGTTTGAAACTTTCTCTATAAAAAGTTCTGGAGTAGAATTATTCTGAGTTCTTCCATTCAAACAGCTTTTGGAAAAGGTTGGCACAGTCTCCTCTCATTGGATGAAGGTCCCACCAATAAAATATCCACTGTGTGGCACTATTCATAAAATATTTATGAATACAAATATTAAAGCACTGCAAATAAAGAATATTATTGCAAATTGTGAGCATATTTTGTTACTACTTTTTAGTGTCCTACTTACTACAGACAACAGACTTTGTATTAGAAAAAATTTTAGATATTTTATTTCTTTTCTGTTTAGTTGTTCAACTACAGTGCTGATTTTAAAATTATGAATTTTTATATATTAGGTTTTTTCTTAAGCTACAACCTATTTTTCAGATATTCAATATATATACAATTTATTGGTTTATTATGAAAACTAAAGTCATTATGTAACGACCAGTTTCTTATGATGGTTTATGTATTTTTTATATGAATAAAATCTGTATTAGTGGGTCAGAAGTTTAGTTTTCGAATCAGGCTGGCATGTGATTCCCGTTGGATTTCAAAGTTTGCTATTTGAAATTTCATTCCAAAAAACAGCTGGTCTTCATTCTAACAGATCATTACAAATGAAACATAGCTTGAAGAAGGACCCAGGAGGGATCCAAAAATGTTAGCTTGAACAATTGAACATACTTCACACTGGTTAAAGGTTTTTTCAAAGGATTATTTGTATATTACTCCGGTGTGCGTCAATTCTTTATTTTTAGTTTTGTAATATCTGCTACATGTAATTTTTTGTATTATACAGATTTATTTCATAAAATTCATTATTTTATGAAATAATTTTTTATATTTACTTTTATGTATTTTTATTTATAGTTTAAGAGTAGCTCTTCTTCACGAAACATGCGAAGTTCGTGCTGCAGGTCTTCGAGCATTAAGGTATCTCTTGAGAGATAGAGATTCCGTTGAAGCGTTTTGTCGAGTTCAGATGCCTCTTCTTATTGCTAGATCTTTGGATATAGTGCTTGATAACCGTATCGAACGTGTTCAAGCATTACGTCTAGTCAGAAAATTACTTTGTATAGATCCTCAGCAGTTTCCTCGTGCCTTGACTAATTGTTTAGTAGCAATTGCTAATGATGGAGTTCAAGAAAGAGATATTCTTGTCAAAGCTTGTTTGGCTGCCCTAAGTGAACTAGGTATAATTATTTATATAAAAAATTACAATTTTATCTTTTAATATTTTATTTGAAGTTTTTTTATTTTCTAAAAGTATTAAAAACATCAAATTAAATATCAAGATTATTTGTCTACTTTTTAGCATTATTGAATCCTGAATCGTGTGCTAATTCAGGTGGACTAAGTGCAATTTTGAGGAATGTTTTAGATAATCAGCAGCCACAAATTGATGAAGCTTTAATAGGTGTTGTATTATTTCTTCTAAATGATCCGAAAACTAGGCATTTATTAGGAAGTTCTATAACACTTGAGGTAAGACAAAAACTTTGAAACATTAACTAGTACACTCATGAAACATTAACTAGTACACTCAAGGTAATGAAACCACTTTATATTTTTAGCAAATCTTAGCACCATTCACAGATTGTCACTTCAAATTTTCAGCTGACATATCAGATCATTTCATCAGGTAAATATATTTCGATAATAGAGATTATATTCATTTTTTTAATGAAATATAAATATTTTAACATTAAGATGATTATTTTTAGTGATGATAAAGAAGCTCGTTTCGCTTGCAGCAAATTAGCAATCATTTCCATTTTAAGATCATGGCCTGGTAAATTCTATTGAAAATTTATAAAATATTTATAAGATATATGGAATTTTATAAAGTGATTATATATAATAATTTGCATTCTAGGATTAATTTATCTATGCAGGCCTGATCATGCTGGTTTGCAGTCACTCATAGATATGCTCTATTTACCATATAATGATATAAGGGTAAATATGGTTCTAATATAATGATGATAATTCAATTTTATTATTTAATTTAATTTTTATATCAATAATGTAATTATTTTGTTAAATTCTTGATTAGAAAAACATTATGGATATATTATATGAAGTCTTTTGTTTGCCAATTCCTGAATGGACTGATGACTTTTCTACAGCAGTTCTTTCTTCAGGTATTAAAATTATTGAAATAGTTTGACTTGAAGTTTAAAAATTTAAATATTTAAATTTTTAAACTTTTTTCAATTTTTCAACTGTTTTAGCTAAATAATTATTTGTGAATTACTTATTATTGACATTTTCCACTTCCTCCTTGGAATTTAAACATTAGTTATAAATCCTGTTCCATGGTATCCTTTTTGTTTTTTAGATTTATTTATAGGAGGTATTCCTTTTTTTCACACATTACCTTTGTAGAGGACCTGGATTAGAATCTATCCTGATATTAATAACCACATTTCTAAAAGAAATAATATACTCTTTCAATTTTAATTAAAATAGATGAAAAGGTACACTTTTAGGTATACAGGGTGATTCAGAATTCATGGGACAAACTTTAAGGGACATGACAAAACATGACAACAACATGACAAAAGAAACACTTTTGTATAGAAAAGTAATGTTTGCAAGTGACTTGCTGAGGCACAAACATAAGAAATAAAACATGAAAGGAAACATAAATTGTTTACTTACAGCATTGTTGACAAGTGTGACTTTACAGCAATGTTTACAATAATTGCTCAAAATTGTGTCCAACAGTAATACACACTTGGCAGCATCAGTGGAGTGACCGGTGCACAGTTTCAAAGATGCCAGATATTTCTTGCACATGTGAAGCCACAACAGATATTCAAGTGACAAGGTCCTCAGTAGAGTAAACTGGATTCTCATAAATGAGGGACATCAGATGTCCCTATAAGAAGTTTGATGCATTTTTCAGCAATTATTGTAAACTTCTTATAGGGGCATCTGATGTCCCTCATTTATGAGAATCCAGTTTACTCTGCTGAGGACCTTGTCACTTGAATATCTGTTGTGGCTTCACGTGTGTGAGAAATATCTGGCATCTTTGAAACTGTGCCCCGGTCACTCCATTGATGCTGCCAAGTGTGTATTACTGTTGGACACAATTTTGAGCAATTATTGTAAACATTGCTGTAAAGTCACACTTGTCAACAATGCTGTAAGTAAACAATTTGTTACATGTGTTATTTCTTGTTTGTGCCTTAACATATCACTTGCACTCATACTTTCCTATACAAAAATGTTTTTTGTTGTGTGCTCTACAATCCCTTAAAGTTTGTCCCATGAGTTCTGAATTACCCTGTACAGTATATGCTTTATTATTATGCTAAATTTTTGTAAAAACACTTCCTTATTTTCCATCTTAAATGGTGTGTTTTTGTAACAAACAAGAAAAAATTATAGACACTGTAGTGTCTATCCTCTCAATAGCAATATACAAATAATAATAATCAAATATTTAATAAACCAGTTTAATTTTGGGTGTAATTATTTCAATTCTAATTTAATGATTGTGTTATATAAAATAAAATGTGATTTTTGAATATGAAATTCAATAGAATTTAATGAAATTGGCAGAGATGTACAAATAGTAGTTTTTAAATAATTAATAACACTTTTATATTGTCTCATGTTTTAAATATATTATATTTTAGATCCTTCAACTATGAGAGATTCCTGGCATATTTATGAAGGTTTCGTAGCATCTGAAGGAAATAGTATTTTATCTCCCGTAATTAAATACAGGTGTTTTTTTTTTAATCAAATTTAAGTAATTAAATAAAATATTATATATATTAATATCATTATTCTAATATTTAGGACAAACCTAGTTGAAAACTATTTTGCATTACTTCTACTCACCTTTGTTCAGACAGGATTACTAGAGGTATATTTGACATTAAATTTTAATTATTAAAATTGACTTGAATATTAATAAAGTTTTCAGTTACATTTCACTTTTATTATTTTAATATCAAAATATATTTAAAGTTAATATTTAGTGACGTATTTATAGCATAACAAATATTAGACTTGGTGTGTCTGCTTTTATTGATAAAATTCTTTTATCTTTAAGTAATCAATATTATTCAATTCAGTTAATCATTCACAATGTTAAATCTCAGATGTAAAATAACATGAAATTTAAAAGCTTAGATAAAAATGATGATATAAATTGGATTCAAATTGAATCATGAAAGAGGCACTTACAATTAGGCTTGTAAAAAAAGGACAATTGCATAATGTAAATAATTGTATTATACATACAACAAATTAAACGAACAACAACAAAAATTAAAAGAACTCCGAGTTCTACACCATATAATAATATAATAAAGCATATATAATAATTGAATGATAACATTATTCAAATATTATTTAGGCTTTAAATTTATGTAGATGTTAGATAAAACTGAAATATTTTATTGGTTATTTCTTTTGTAGTTACATTTATGGACAATATCTAAAAAAGAGAACTGATTTTTAAATATTGCCCATTTTTTTTATTGAAAGAATTGAATGATAAGCTGAAACATGTTTAAAATATTTTACAGTAACTTTTCTCACAATTACAGTTCAGATACATTCTATATATTATTTCCCCTTTCCAAAGTTTTTGTATCCAAAATTTGAATTTTCAATCTGCTTGATGGAATTTGACTAGATTGAAAAGTTACTTATGGAAAACTGTTAAGAAGTCTTTGTTTGGTGAGGAAACATTAAATTCTTAGTTTGTCTGTAGTGTTTATTATGCTGAAATGATCTGATTGCAATTCAAAAGCTAGTTGTAAACAGAGAAAAATTTGAAAGAACATTAATGATAATAAGTAACATCTATTTTATCACTGAAGAAATTAACCTTACATTGAAATATTGGGTTGAACTGAAAGTTTGTTTGTTTGGTTTTTAGAAAGAAATGAAATATACTGTTTTGAAATAAATAACCTTTAATCCACAATGTATTCACTCTTCTGTTCAATAACCTTATGCCACTTGACGAGTAGTTTCGTAATTCTATCTGTGTAGATTTGGGTGGGTTTCTGAAAAAACTATCAATGTGATTTTTGATACCTTCTAAAGATTGAAATTCTGTTCTGTTTAAATTATTCTATAACAAACAAGAAAGAGGATAGTCTGAGGGAGTAATATCTGGAGAATATGCAAGGTGACTCAAAACATCCCAGTTAAAGCCTAAAGTTTTTGGTGCACATTTAACGATATGTGCAGTCTTACGTTATCATGATGGAATATCACTCCCTGCCAATTTGCAAGTTCTGGACATTTTTTGTGCACTGCAGCCTTTAATTCATCCAGTTGGAGACAATATTTATTGGAATTAATTGTTTGGTCATTGGGTAAAAGCTCAAAGCTCATAAAGAATCCCTTTCCAGTCCCACCAAACTGAAATCATTACTTTTCTGGGATGCAAACTAGCTTTAGGTTGTGGCACTTTAGTAAGCATGGATCACCTGGCTTACTCCAAGATCTCTTGCATTGAATATTGTTGTAAATGATCCATTTTTATCATTTATAAAAGTGATTAATCACTTTAAAAGTGGATCATCATCTTTGCATTTTAAAAGTGAATCACAAACAGAAACACTCTCAGTAAGGGGGTTTTGTTCACTTAAGTGATGGAAAACCCAAACATCATAATGGGAAGTGTATCCAAGACTAGTCAAATGTCTGACAACAGAGGTTTGAGATATTTTTAAGATGTCAGCTATTTCTCGTGTTGTTCTATGCCAATTGTTTTGAATTAGTGCCATTATGGACTCATCTTCTATGGTTGAAGGCCGTCCTGACCAAGGTACAGGAAAAATCTCCTGCCCTGAATTTTGAAAACCATTTCTGGCATGTTCGATCAGTAACTGCATCCTCCCCATATACAGCACATATCTTCTTTTGAGTTTTTGTTGTATTTTTTCCTTTTTGGAAATAGTAAAGCATGAGATGTCGAAAATGCACCTTCTTATCTATCATTTTAATGTTTTTATTTATTGACTGTTGAACACAAGATTGTGTTGGAAAAAAACCAAGTGTTTAATTAATAACACAATCTTGTGTTCAACAATCAATAAGTACTAAAACACAGTTTCAGAAAACAAATCAACTACAAGTTTTTATTTATCTTAAAATATAACAGAATTTTAAAAAATAGCTGTAATTAAACTTGTATTAAATATGCAAATATTTGTAAGGTTAAGTTAAAACTTGATAACTAAGTAAGTTAAAACTTGATAAGAAGAACAGAGGCAATGTAGATATGCAATTATGTAAATACCCGAAAGAACTTTCGGTTCAACCCAATATATACATAAAAATTACAATAACTGTATTCTAAAATTTTTATTAATTAAGTTAATCTGAAACAAAATGACATTTCTTTTATGATTAAAATTTTAAAAATTTAGTTATAAAATGCATAGTTTTTATAATGGTTAAAGTATCAAATTCTTTGTTTATAAATTTTTTATTTAAATTTTAGTGAATAACAGCAGTAATTATGAAAAATTACCTTTGATAATTATAATGTTATTTATATTATCATAAAAAGCTTTAGACAGTACATAATGCATATTTATCTTTTAGGCCTTAGTAGATGTTGTAACTGCTGATGATAATTTTATATCTGTAAGGGCTGTTATTTTACTTGGTGAATTACTACATATGGTAAGTAAATAGTTTAAGTTGAAGTAATCTATTAATTTGAATTATAACTGTGTAATATAGCAATCATGGAAATGATCACATAAATTAAGAATGTGAAGTTGTGTGAAAGATTTTTAAATGTGTAAAATTTTTTCTAGATATTCTAGGAAATTACTACATTCATCTGAATGTTGAAAAATTATTTATAAGAATTAATTTAAGAATATAAGAGCATGCATTATAAAACATCCAACTTTCAAAAATTGTTATATTTCATCAAATGCTCATCTAAGAGAAAATAAGTGGTGAATAGTTGTATTGTCACAGAATTAGTTAAAGCAGAATGTTTGTTATACTTTATTCTAAATTTCAATAGTCAGTATTGGCTAAATATTTTAAATATTCAACTACTAACAGTTCATATTTATCATTAATATTTTATATTAATTACAAAATTGGTTATTTTAATGTAAATATTTAATCCATTATCATTAAATCCTTATTATAGCCTGATAATCCAGTAGTTTGTTTGACTTTAATTAAATAATTGGAGTAATGGATTGAATGGTTATATATATGTATATTTTAGTATATTCATTAATTTAATTAAAAAAATTTAAATTTCAGATTCATAACTTTGTTTATTAAAATAATTGAATTTTAGTTCTGAAATCTTAATAAAACTTTTTGAAGTTATTTTAAAGAAGTAAAAAATATCTTGAAGTAGATTCTGATATAGTTTGTTATTAATCAGATGATTAATCAGAAAACCAACATTGAACATGAAACAAAGAAATTATATTGATGGTATTAGCAGTTTTTATTTTTTTCATATAAATGAAGTTTTCTAGAAATCAGATCTTCAGTCATTAATTAAAAAAATGACCACAGAATAGAAAAATTATATGATTCAATTCTATGAAATGCTGATTTTATTCATAAATCAAAAAAACACAAAATATACAAAAAAGGTTTTCTAGAATTAAATTATTTAATTGAAAAGTTTTAAAGTAGTATAAAAAATTCTAAGAAGTTTTCTATTGAAAAAGAAAAAAATAGACTCTTATGTTTGTATAAGATCATTTTGAAATATTTTTGTACAGTAGTTTGATCAAAGAAATGCATAATTATACATATCATGCAATTTCCATTATATTTTTCTTCTGTATTCAGTAGAATTAATTGCAACAGGCTGACACAATAAAAATTAATAATTATAATAAGGAATTTTTTTGCACATGTTTCTTATTATTCATTGTAATCTATAAATGGATGAATAATTTGTTAAAGCTTATTTTGCAAAAAAGAAATTAATGCATTTGACCGGATTGATATAATTTTTATCAAAAGTTTGAGAAATTTCTGATTAATTAAAGATCCTAACAAAATACATAGTTAGTTCTGTACTTGCTTGATTGTTATATAAAATATTTCTTGACAAAATGTATTAGTAAAATTTTATTTGATTATAATTAAAATTAACATTTTCAATTCATTCATGGTTTTCTATTTGTAAAATTAATTTTTTAAATAAATCAATTGCATATGTAATTTTGTATATTTAACTAAACAGAAAGTTAATTTCTTATATTTGTATTGCAGGCCAATCAACTTTTACCATCTGAATGTAGTCATCATTGTAATTGTCTTCCTACTTTAATATCAATGGCTACTTCCTTTGAATCTTCACCTCACCGAAGAAAGTAAGACAGAATGAAAAACATTTGCACATTCTTACTTCTTTGATTAGTTTTTGTTTGCATAAATAATTTTATATTACTTACTTTTTAGTCAGGCCAGTACTGCTATATCTTACTTGAATCAAATTCATGTGCTGAAGAAACGAGATGTGGTACCTTGTAGTCTTTTCTTAGATCAATTGTTACATTTCTGTAATCCTATTAGGAAAAAAGACAAGCATTTTGGTGATACTATTAGTCGTACAAAATTATGGCATTATCTTCGAAAAGTAAGTTTTTATTACATTAGACAGTTATTTCTATATAAAATAAAACTTTCTTATGGTTCAACAAATTTTACATTAATAGAAATATTTATATTTTATTCACTTGCAATAAAAATTACTTTTACTTATTTTAGTTAAATGCTGCTGATATTTATCATACTCATTACTGAATTAATCAGTCTTTTCTTAAGTTCAATAGCAAATGTCAGTTTTGCCAATTGATATTGGTAAAATTTATATGTAGATTGAATTAAATTAAATTCTAGTTTTAATGGAAAATTTTATCTAGAATTAAATGTAAAATTGTTATATAATTCTTAAGTCAGGAAGATCAAAGAAATAGTAAGCACAGGATATTCTCTGTCTTAGATGGAGTAAATTATAAGTGCCATATTGGAAGCACATATTAGAGATTTTATTAGATTAAAGGAAGATAGAGAAGTGTTTAAAAAGGGAAGACAAATATACAAAGGAAAGTAGGCCAATTTTGTGATTTCTGAATTGATAACTGTCCACCTAAGAGTGATTGATTGAAGACTAATCATAATCTGATTTTTGAATAAAATATAAAATGTCCCATGGATTTGGATCATAAAGTTCATCAGCCACAGGAAAAGAGATGATATAACATTTTACATTGCAAACATTAATTTGTCTGTATTTAATTTTGTGAGATTAGCCGCAGATAAGGGAGATCCCTAACCCTTGATCGGCCTTGGGTTGGTGAAACCAGTCTTGTTGTCACTGGATGACTTTTTGATAAATTCTGAAGGGGATTGCAAGATCCTGCCAACGCCAGGATGCTGACACCAGTTAGGATAGTTCAGTCATCAATTCTTGCATCCTAACTTGCGAGTGGTGATCTACTCTGTCCTAAGAGTTCAATGCTTACAGGACTGGTTGAGTCGATTTCGAGTGGTGAGGTACAGTGGGAAAGCCGATAGGTTCCAAGTAATGACAGGTAATCAGGTCATAAGCAATACAAGCATTTACTATATGTTTAAATCTATGGTTGTATGAAGCTATGGAATACACAACTAAGTGTGGCAAATAATCATAGAGAAATGGTGTGACTAGTTGACACATATGCCGCTCATGATGGGTTTACTGAAACTGTCCTATTACTTTCTACCTAAGCTATGTAGTTCGAGAGAGAGCGTTTACAATTTGTAAGGAATTTTACCTTGTGTACCAGATTCACTGACCTCTTGTAGTGTTAGATGCTGTGTCGCTTCTGTGAGAATGTCTGTTCTGGGATACGATGAGTTGGAGCCTTGGTGGAATCCCTCTGGAGTATGAGACCTGGGTCTGTATGCTCGGTATGGTGAGGCTGGTAGCTGTCCACCTTGTATGGCTGTGGTGAGGCTACATATGTCCCTCCGTATGGTCTCAGATTCCAGAATGTCCACCTTGTTTGTCCACCTGAATATGGCAGGTCTGGAGAGGCCCACCTATGGAGGTCCACTGTGTATGGGCTGGCGGGTAACTGGTGGGTATAGCTCTTCTATGCTCTAGGAAATGTACACACCCTGAGACTTACTTTTTTGCTTCTTTTATATGCTTCAGTCTGGGAAAAACCCATCAGGTGATTGAGTGTTGTTGGAGACGAAAGTTGATTTTGCAGGTGTTGGGTCATAGGTGAGCTGTCAATGACATTACAGTGTCGTTCCCACAGAGCTGACAATACCATATTAGGCTTGAAACTTGTACAGTTCCTTCTATTGGGTTGACTTTCTCCTCCTTTAACAAGAGGTTGTTTAATTTAACACTCGATTGTTATCATTCCCGAACAGTTGTTGATAGTAAGAGATATTCAATTTGTTTTCTGTGTGTTGTTTTCTTAATGATTGCGACAGAGATAGGCTTGAGAATTTCCTTAAATTAGCACAAAATTGGACCTATGATCCTCACAATTTTAATAAAATCGGAGCTGATTTATTATGTTAATTCAAAATAAATAATCTATGAAATAATCTTCTGTTTAAAATATTGAAAAACAAAATCATTTTAAAATAAGTTGTTTGTTGCTTATGTTTTATGTTAAATTATTTTGTTCTTTCAAAACATTGTAAACATGAAATATTTAAAGATTTATATTAGTATAGAATATACAAAAGAATTGAACATGTTTGATTTTCAATGTTAATCTAAATGATGAGACATTACATGTTTTGAAAAACAATATCATAATAGAAGTGTGTGGCTCCTTGAACTTTATTAGCAGTATTGTTTATGAGCAATTATTTATCGTGACATCATCACAATGCCTGGCTGCAATTTTTAATTTAGTTTAAAATACATACTAATATAAAATAAAATATATTTTTTATTTTATACTAATATATATTTCCACCTCAAATTATCAGTAGTATTGTCTTGCCCATGTACAGTACATCATACTTACCTGCCAGCAATAGAGCTGTGCCGGTCATCTGTCTAACTCCTTTCAAGGGAAAATTTTTGAATTGAAATGATGTGACTTCTGGTTTGCATCAGACATTCATATGTAGTTAATCAAGGCCTCTCGCTCCTTAGCTTTCCATATCTGGTCTTAGCTTTAATCTAACTAACTCATCTATCTAACAGTTAGATAGATGAAAGCCAAGACCAGAGATTAAGGAAAGACAGACGAACGACATTGGGAATTTATAGGTCTGCAATTTTTTCAAATTGCAGCCCAATTATGGAGTTATTAGTGTCAAAGAAGTATTTATTCTAAAATATATGATTTAAATTATTGATCTATAAAAAAAAAGTTTAATTTAATGTTAAACTTAATGTTAAACTTCATGAGCAATTTTAAGAATGTCTGCCTATTGAATACTTACATAAACATTTTTTTTATTTTGAATATTTCTCTTTCAAATATAAAATTTTATGTTGACGTAAACAGCATATTTATATATATAATCCTATAATCATCATTCTTAAATTTCAAAATAACTTTTTTTTGTAGGATGCTGATGACATGATTTCTCAAGCAATCAAAGATAGTCAAGTTACAATTAGAGATTATACTGATTGGGATTGGGAATTAATTGGTAGCCTTTTGAAGGTAAATTTTTCATTTTTTTTTATTAAATATTTTCTTAAATGTATTTATATTATTTAATGATGAATAGTTTAATTTAAACATGTCAGTATTAAAAAGTAAATGAATATATGAGTGATTAGAAATGGGTGCTCTTACTTTCAGAAAAATCTAAATTTTTATTGATGTCTTAAGTTTATATCATGTGTTTGTTTTTGTTTTAATGTTAGTTATATTAAATTTAAATAATTTATTAGGATTTATAGAATGTATAAAATTTTTAAAGAAATTTAACAGTTTATGAAGTAAACAGATTTTGTTGAGGAATTTAGAATATACTGTGTTACCCATCATTGACAGGAGATACTTATTTTGTGAAATTATATTTACTGAACTAAAGAGTATATCTGCAGAGTATTGTTTGTTACAGATTCATAATATTCCTATTAATGCCTTGAAGATTTTGCCAATTAACTAATTATTTTTTAATGTCAGTTCTTCATATATAATAGTGAACTTCAATAATACACCTTTCTTATAGATAATCCCTTGAAAGAAATACTAATTCATATTTCACCATCTAGTGAAGAGAGAGACAAATAGACAGACAGAAATCCATTACAGTTTAATTAAATTAATATAATTGTTGTAGATTTTGAGATGATGCATGTCTATAAATCTTCTCCTGAATAAACAGATTCAAAATATGAAGTTTGGTTAAAATATGTTCAGGCATTTTCTCTTGATGCGACAACAAACATTTTGACCACTACAGTTTTATTTATATAGATTATAATTTATTTATAATTTATCCTCTCATAAATTCTAAAGAATTTATTATCCGTTTTCTAAAATAAACAACCTTGTGGATTAAATTGTAACAATAGTTAAATTACAGCTTTTATTTTATTTTTATTGACAGACTTGTAAGGAAATTAATTTAAAATTTTAAAGTATTGTCAAGAATTAAGATAAGCAGTCTGTTTCTTAGCCAAATATTTAATTTAATGAGATTTGAACTTGTTAACAACATGAATAAAAAAATAAACAAAATTCTTCAAATGAAAATATGCAGTTTAATATACATATGATTAATAAATTCAGTATAAAAAAAAAGCTTTTTTTTTTAGTTAAGAATTTTCATTGAAAACATATGGATTTAAGAAAACTATTTAAAATAATTGGAGAAATGACAATTCTGAATTAGATATACAGTAGAGCATCGTTTTATCTGAAAGTCGGATATCTGAAAGAATTCTAGTGGGCAAATTTAAATTTTTGCTAGTGCTGTGGCGTTGCAATCTTTGGCTATATCTTGGGCTACTCCAATAATTTTTTTTATGTGTGTTTTAGCTGGCAGCACTGGCACTTTTGTGTGGTGTTTTTCTGAGGACTGTGTGTCGTGCTGAATCAAACGTTTTTGATACTAGATTAACTCCTAAAGTATAATTTTTTTTTGTTTTTGTATTTTTCAATATATTTATTTTGTTTGTAAAAAATAAAGAAATAATTTTTAACAATACAATAGCCACGATTATTATTTTAAAGCAGTGGTTCTTAACTGTTGTCCCTGAAAGCATCCGAAATGGTCCACGAAAGTTATCCCAAAATTATTAAGTAAGTGACGACGCTTTGATGACAATGCGCAGTACATCAAGGTTAGAGCCGATAGCGGACTGGGCTGGGGTATGGTGCGCGGTCATAAAATATGAAACTGGAAGTCACTAGCAATAAATTTGCATTTGAAGATAAAATCAGTGCGTTTATCGCTAAAATCGATTTACGGATCAGCAAAGTCGAAAGAGAGAAGTTTTCTGCATTTGATACATTGAATTTAATTATTGATTGACAGTGTGCTGAGATTAAAGGACAAATACAAAAGAACATTACATTCCATTTGCAAAGCTTGAAAAATGAATTCAATCGCTATTTTCCTGATTGCAAGGACAAAGGTGTTCAGAAACTGATTTGCAGTCCTTTCATAGTCAACATTTCTGAGGTAATGGATGAAATGCAAGAATAGTTAATTGAAATGCAACATGATAGTAACTGCAAGGATACATTTGGGACAGGAATTAATCTTAAAGATTTTTGGAGCCAAAAAGCTATTGCTTTCCCTAAAATTCGAGAAATTGCTTTACAGTGCCTAACTTTATTTTCAACCACATAAAGAGCCGGCTCTACCATAGGGCGAACAGAGCAGCCGCTCCAGGCGCTAAATCCTAGGGGGCGCCTCAGTGGTAAAGAAAATTAAATGGTATAAATTAGGGGGCGCCATAATAGGATCTCGCTCCATCCTAAAACTTGCCTCGGGCCGGCACTGACCACATATTTATGCAAGCAAGGCTTCTCAGTGCTTTTGATAATTAAAAATAAACATCGAAATCGGTTGGATGCCAGTGCCGACATGCATTTCCTTTGAGTAACACTGAACCAAGAATTCAGCAGTTGGTAAACAGTATGCAGTCACAAAAATCACACTAAAATAATGTAATTAATGTAACACTTTCGCAAATAATATAATACTCTTGGTTCCGAATAATTTTCTACGTGTTTAATTTATAGAACAACCTTATAAGAACCTATATTACTGCCAAACAGCTCGTGGTCCATGACAAGACAAAAATTTTGATAAATGGTCCCTCATCACTAAAAGGTTAAGAATCACTGTTTTAAAGTTTTACATTAGGCTTAACATCGACGAAAATTCAATGTGAAGCGACACACAACAGAGAAAAATTTCAACATGGGATATTTTTCATACATAATCGGTTATCTGAAAAATAAGTTATCCGAACAACCCCAGTCTCTAATCGATTCGGATAAACGATGCTGTACTGTATTTTAAAGAAATTCAAAACAAAAAAGAAACTTCTTGCTCAATTAAGAATTACTTAATAAATTTTCTTGATATTCAAACTTTTGTATATTTAAGTTTTTAAACTTTACATAACTATTTCTTAAGTTGAATATTTTTTTTACAGTTATCAAAAATAATTTGAATTATAATGTTAAACGATACATTATTTTTTCGTTTAGNTTGACTGCATTAAAAATAAAATGTGGGAGAAATTAAAACTATTTATTTGTATCAGCAAAAAATCTGAAAATAAAATTGCAATATGCAATTTAATTTAATTTAGAATTTATCCTTTAGAGGACATAAAAAAGTTGACAAGCACCAACAGATGTCAGTAGTCTTCCAAATACATATTATCTTAACAATACAAACAACATAATTGTTGAATATAGAAATAAAACACATTTTTGTTAACAAAAATTAATTATTATTTTAGCTTTTGAATAATTGCAGAATTTAAAATATTTGCATCTTTCAAAGTTATGGAATCTTCATTTAGCTCTTTACTTGGAAATGCTGTCAGCAGAGCAAATAAACTGGCACTGTATTGTGGACGGGCTCTAATCTGTTGTTAAGAATCATACAAGTAATCAACAATTCAATCAGTATAACATAGAATAAATTTTAAAAAATGTGCTTGAAGATTTCTCCATTGTATACTAAACAAATCAACATTTAGTAATTTATTCTTATATTTTTTGAATACTTTCTCAGTTAAATATGTAATTTGAGTAGCAAGTCATTTCTTTCAAAAATACCACAAATAATGGAAATCTAAAAAAATCACCATACTACCTAATACAGCAGCATTAAAAATACCACATTTACTTGCGTATAGGATAAGGTATGACTTTAAAGATCAAAATAAAGAAAATTGGATTTATTAATACAATTTAATTTTATTTAATCACAAATAAAATGTCAAATGCACACATTGTCCCACAAAAATTACTGGCATTTTAAACTTTATGTTGTCGATTTTACAAGATTGTTAAGAATTGGAAAAAAAAGGTTCCCAAATTAAGGAAAAATCAAAACTACTCTGGAGAAACTCATAAGGGTAATCGACAAATTCTATAATAATCTGTTTTCACATGGGAATGGATTAAAACTTATATTGGTTCCTGTGAGATTTTGGAATTCAATTCAAAAGATTTGCTTTTCCCTATTGCTATTCATCTTTACTCCTGACAATACACAAGAACAATTAAAAACAACTATTTTATCTGGGTCATTTCAAACACCAGAGAGTGAGCATCCAGTAAAAAACGTGAACACACAGTTCACAAAAATTATTGCAAAAACACAAAGAATCCTTCACTTGCACATGTAGGATGACCTAGATTTTTGAAGCAGGGAAAAATGAATAAAAACCTCATCTTATATGCTAGTAAATGTAACATATTTGATAACATACCATATCTTAAAGATTAATTTTCTCAACTCTTATGATTCTACTGGCCTCAAAATTAAATCTAAAATTAGTACTATCCAAGCCTTTTTTTGGATTTTCCCTAATACAGTCGACCCCCCTATAAGATAGAGATACGTTCCATTCTCTAGGAATCCGCTTTCTTACGAATCCTTCCAATCACAACCCGACACGTATCAAGTTTACGGACTACGGCTGTTTGAAAGATTTTCTTCCATAAAATTAATCGATTCTAGACTANTTTTATGATACACTTTATAACACTTTATTTTTTAGTTTATATGATCTTGTTGGTATTACTAGCCATGATTTGTACATAAAACTTGTAGTTTCCTCATTGGATTACACAAAAGATGGGTTTTCTAGAAAAATATTAACAAAAGTGCTAACATCAACTAATGAGGTATGTATCTCTACATCTTAACTGTATATGTTTTTAGTTTTTCAAGAAAACAAATGTTTGTTATGTTACAGAATGCTAGACTTTATGCCACAAATTATTTAAGAGTCTTAATGAGAGCCAGAATTATTGATTTTCATAAATGGGCAATTGAATTACTTATAACTCAGTTATATGATCCTTGCCGTGCTGTTTCGCTTGCTGCTGCAGATATTTTAGATGAAGCTTGTGATGTGCAAGTAAGTTTGCATATAAAATAAATCCTAAGTGCCTAATATTTTGTAATATAAACTATTTTGCTTTTCAGGAAAATTTAGAAGCACTGATTTCTCTTCGACCTCCTCTTCTACATTATGGTGATAAGGGATTACTTCTTCTATTGAGATTTCTTTCAGTTTCGGGTGGATTTCGTTTTTTAAGAGATGCTAATTTTCTTAATCATGAATTACACAAATGGCACAATGTAAGTTGTAGTTTAGCTTTAATGATAATTATTAGTGTACTTAGTATGATATAAATATTAAAGATTAATATTACAGACATACAATTTAAAATATGTGAAAATTGTTGAAGAATATTTAAATGAAGCATTAACTTGTCATCACAAAGGTGAAGATGGTACTTATGGTCGTCGAAGCAGCAATGTTAGGTACAATAATCTTAATGATTTTAATTAAGTATAACAAATACTCAGCATTAAATTTGCTATATTTTATAAAAAGTCTTGTCAGTTTGTTGGAAAAAATTCTCATTGTCATGTGAGGTGGTATTTTATAATTTTTATGAATATTTGATACAGATCCATAAAAATAAAACAAAGAAAATGTTTTTAAAAATTACTTTCAGTGAATTACAAAACATTTTAAAGTGTTATTTTTTAAAATTACTTTCAGACGTGAAATCTGTACTGCGTTCATACCACCACATATGTATGGCCAGCTTGTAAGGCATAAGGAGGGCCTTGAGTTACTACTAAATGAAGATTGCCTTAGTCCATTGTATGATATCATCAAAACTGCTAATTATGTTTCAGAAAGTAACATTCTTCATTTAAAAGCAGCTCTGTGGGCAATTGTAAGATTTTTAAAGACAGTTTTTTTCAATAAGTATAAGGTTACCAAGTCAATTTAATTTAATAATTTCTTTAATTCATATTTTAGGGGCATGTTGGAATGTCTTCCATTGCACTTCCTACAATTCTAGAAGCAAATGTTGTTCCACAAATCATAAAATTAGCACAAGAAGCTTCAGTTTTCTCTATAAGAGGGTAAAGAAATATCATAAATTTAATTTCTGAATAAATTTAGTAGATCTAATTAGAAATTATTCATTTTTGTATTTTTCCTCCCAGAACTTGTTTTTATGTTTTGGGTCTGTTGTCATCTACTCCAGAAGGTGCAGACTTATTAATGCAGTATGGATGGGAAACAGTACGCCGCGCCCATGATGATAAGTGGCCAATTGTATTAAACACTACAACTTTGGATGAATTTCCTCAAGATGATTGTAGATCATATACTTGGTCTGTCAGTAGTGGTGATAGTGAATGGTTAGAATGTCTTTCTTCCAGTTTTTCATTTGTTGTTAAATCTGAAAATGAAACTCTGTCCCAGTTTCAAAGTTTGCCAAGTTCTTACAGTTTAGATTTAGATGATAGCGTAATACCTATTAATAGGCACTCTGTTAAATGGAACAAGGATTATGGAGAAGGTGGCATGCTTCCAAGTGTACAAACTTTGCCATTTATAAATAATCATCAGCCTTGCCAAACCAGGCCACGATCATCATCAGATTGCAGATCAAACACTAATCCTCTTTACAAACTGGAATGTGATAGTCTGGACAAAGAAAAATCATTGTCCAGACCTGAAGTTGTGTGGAAAATTGGTTCAAATGATGTTATCAAAGATAGGTCTAGTTCTTTTGGTGGAACTCAAGATGCAACAAATGAAAATTCAGTCAAGGAAAGAAGCATAAGTGATCTAGAAGTGTCTAATAAGAAAGAAACTATTCCTCAATACTCTTTAGGTACGAAAGGGTTACGAAGTAGCAGTAACGAAAGTTCTCATACAAGTAAAAGTCGATCAGGAAGTTCTACAGATTCTACAACAAGTGGTATAAGTTCATGTGATTCAGCTGCACCTAGGTTATATCATTCTGATCATGCACAAACATTGTCTCCTATTGCTAGTTCTACATCACTCAATACCATGTCTAACAGATCAACATCATGTCTAGATCATATACATGGATCCATGATTATGAAACAGTCCTATGTGAATAGATCCATGTCATATATTTACAATCCAAGTTCACCTGATGGTACATCCTGTGCTTTTAGTTTCACAAGTGCTAGAGATGCTTTAGGCTATGTTACTTTAAAAGATATTCAACGTAAGCGTATTCAGTCAATGTCATTTGATGAAGAAAAATCAAATTGGTTGGAAAAGAGAAATTTAAAATCTCAAAGTTTAGAACCAAATCTTTTAAACTGTCAAGAATTGTAAGTATATAGTAAATTATGTTATATTTTAAGTTAAATTAAGTAGTCTAATTAGATTATTTTTTTGAAATACTTAATATATATTTAACTTATACAATAAATATTATTTTTTCCTCAAAAATGAAGGGTTTATTTCTGATTTAACATAGGAAAAAACTTAATTTCTGATCTTTATTATCTGTTAACTTAATGATTAAAGTAGCTCTTAAGTCGGTCTTAAGCACAAGAAATGTGACCTTAATTAGGAGTAACATCTGTGCTCAGAGGATTCGACTGCTTGGATCTGACAGAGAATATCGTGTCCTGTAAACCGTCTGCATCAAGCCAGTCTTCCACTCTATCCAGCAGTGTGGGAAAGTCATCTGAAGTATCTTCAGAAGTGTTATACATTGGCCTGAGTTTGCCTGTAGATTACAGAATGATATTATCAGTTGAGTATAAATTTTTAAATATTATTTAAGTTATTTGCCGAGGTTTCTTTAAGTAAACTGAATTTTCATATTTTTAGTTACATGAATGTCAAGAATGTGGCACATGTGCGTCAGACACTCAGAATGGTAACAATTTATGATATACATACATGCATATTTTTTAATTTGTGATTAACAATTAATGATTTTATTAATAGATGAAAGAGAGACCCTTAATATTTGGAAGATGCCTGAAAATCAATCTTCAAACAATGGTCTTGTTTTACATTCTACAAATAACTGCTTGGTCTGCAAGAAGTGGTACACACTGAAAAAAGTTGAATTAGCTGATGTTACCACTGATGGTAAATATTTAGATTTTTCTCTAACTGGATTTAAGAAATACATTTAAATTTAAAAGAAATTTTGTTCTGTTTTTTGTAGAAACAGATGAAGATAATTTTCTAGAAAATCGTGAATTATCTAGTCCTTGTGAAAGTAAAATAGAAAATGAGGTACTTCCATTAAAATGTAATGATGATGTAAAGACAATGAATGTTTCTGTCAGCAGTTTAACAAGTCCTAGTAGTACAGAAACAAGTAAGTGAAACATTTTCTGTATGAATTACTTATGTCCATATGCATTTTTATTAAAATTAATCTATTTTCATTTGCAGAAAATTATGTACTAAATGAAGAGTCATCCTTCAACACATCAATGATTTATAAGGAAATTATGCGTTTTGTTACTAACATGAGCAGTTCTATTGCTCTCAAGTCATCAGAGCAAGGACTTCTTAAGTAAGAAATCAATCAGTCATAAAATATGACTGACTGAAAATATATTTATATATTTCTTCTCATTTCAGCTTGAAGCAAAAATTTCCGAAAATTTTTCAAGACATTTGTTTATATACTGAAATCAGTTTGTATTTAGCCAATTACAGCTTTAGGCTTGGTGCTCGCAGATTTCTACAAGAGTTATTTTGGGATGCCAGTTTTCATGAGGTAAACATCTACATTTGAAGATATATCATGAAAAGTCTGACAGATTTTTGAAAAATTAATCATAAATTATCTTTTTAATGCAGATATATACGGATGCAGAAGCTCTTTTAGAAACGATTCCAAAAACAGTATCGCTTCCAACAGTCGAAAGTTCGGAAACTTAAGTGATACTTTGGTCATAGTCCTAGTATTAGCATGCCAAAAAACAAATTTAATCATACAATTAAGTAATTTTTCAAAACTCAGTCTCCCAAAATGTTATACAAAGGAAGTGTAAAGAAAACAATCATATTTCTGTACAGTAGAATAATATATTTTATAAGAGAGAATAATAATCTGTTGCCCTTATCCTTCCTTTGTTAAATGGAATGTTTTTATTTATTGCCCTGAAAACTTTTTCAAAATTAAATAACATAAACATTATCAATAATACATTCCAATTTTAAAAATTGCAGAATATGCAGCAGACGACTGACAATTATAATATTTGTAATAATGTGATTGTAGTTTCATAAAAAAAATTTTTTGTAGATAGAAAAGAAAATTGAACATCATATGTGTGATCAGAGTAATCAAGTTTTGGAGAGCAGCTGAAATTAAATTTTGCAGATAAATTTTAAAGTGATAATGTCAGTTAAATTATGCAGATAAATTAGTCATATAATATCATTCCTACTGTATAAAAAAACTTGTGTACAAATTGTACATATGATCAAAATAAATTTGTAATTATTGTTTGGACATAAATGCTGTATTTATTAGAATATCTTAAATTTAGTATGGGGTATTATATTCAATAAAATAAATCAATATACTTAAATGTTCAAAATTTAACTTGGATATTAACCAAGTCCTAAGAAACTTATATTGTATCAAGTATATTAATTGAGAAAAATATACACAGACTAGGGTAATCAATATTGTTTAGAATGTTGAGTTGGAGAAGTGCCGCCTGCTGATCTCAATTTGTTGGCACTAGGAGTGAGTTACATTTTTGCAGATTTGTAAATATGGTTAAAAAGTTAACAGCATAACAATTCTGCCTAAAACAAGGCTCTACTGTTTTACAGTGTATCCTCAAAAAATTATTATATAACATTCTGAAATCCAGAACAGCTTGTCAGTGCTCTAACATTATACAATGGCATAGCAGTTTTTAATGAGAAATTTGCTTGATTTAAAGTTCTGTTAATGGTATCAATATTGCCTCAGTTTACTGAATGGTGTCAGTATTACCTCAGTTTACATCTTATTGAAACCAATGCCGTAATAAGATATAAATTTCATGCTTTTACTTATTTTTCAACATGTTGAAAATGCATTAAAAGTGATTGAGTACATTAGAAATAAAAAAGGAGATATAGAGATACATGCAGGATAATCCAGCAATGAATTGCATAACTTTCCTGGCTATTGAGAGATTTTATTTTTAAAGAATAACTTTATTATGATCAATAATATAAAATTGTGTGTGATTATGACTTTTTTAAAAAGCATAAGTTTTTTTGTCATTTTTATAATAAACAAACATAATTTTGAGGATAGAGATGAGTTTTATAAAAAACAAAAGTGTAAATGCTAACAAGTAAAAACTTAAGTCTGATACCACGAGATGGAGAGATGACACATGACCACCCTCTATCCTCAAACTTTCACAACCAAAATTTAATAGCATCAATATCCCTTACTGTGCCAAATTCCATATCTTAATCTTCCCATCCTGAGATATTAAATGAAATAGATGCCCATGCCTCCACATACAAAAGTTTTTTTTTGCCATTTTTTGTTTGCAGGGTCTCAAAACATGAAGATTGCAAAAATCTGAGGGTCAAATCTGACACAATTCCAATACTTTCCCTTGTTATTTATACATAATAGCTGGAAAAGTAAAAGGACTGTTTTGGGTATGTTACTTTACACAACCAGAATACTACTGAATTAAAACAATTTTGAGATAGCAGATTTGTTGATAGCTATCAAGACAATTTGCTAGATTAATTGCAATGGAGAACCATTGGAAGAAGACTAAAGGTAAGATAAAGTCAGATGGACAGAATAAAATGGCCGCATGTTTGTCGTCCTGTCATATACAGACACTGTACTGTATTGTACTTGCATGTTTGACACAGGAGCAAAACAGCTTCACTTTGTTCCATAGTTTGAAATTTATTGTAGGCTCTCCCTCTTTCAACATCACACTCGCTGCAAAGGAAGAAACTTGCATTCCCAAATAAAGCCTTTAGTCTCTGGTTTTTAAGAAAGATTCCTAGATTGTAAACTTTTTGCATGACATGTTTGGCCAAATTGAAACTCAGAGCCAGCAGGCCCAAACTACTTTGTGCCATTGTAATTCACCACTGACATTCAGCTTTCTAAATATACAGCCAAGGAAAGTCTAAGTGGTCAACAGCAGCAATTATAAGCAATCTTTATTAGTGATGTAACGAATATTCGGTTACTATTCGGTATTCGGCCTATTTTTCGCTATTCGGCTGAATACCGAATAATCACTATTCGGCCGAATACCTAAAAACAGGAGTAAGAAATAACAAAAACACAGTAAATTAATCATTTTGGTATTTAGATTTAATGTTATCAAGTTAGGGTTTGTTTATATTTATTTATAACTTATAACATGCACAAATTAAAAAAGAACGTAATATTAGTCACTTGTATTCACAATTTATAATTACAAAGATCAGCACACGTACACACCTATTCGTTCGAGAATCGTCGCACATCTGAGTGTCTGACCCTGCCTATCCTTCTTTTTAAGTGCTCGTCTTTGCTCTTCCCTTTCTCTTTCCCCTATTGCTCTAGTCCACGTATGCCTATGCATACATCATAATACGCCCTCACAATACTTTCAATTCGTGACTTTTCCGTCGTAGGTTTCCCATTTTACAATTACGTGACTCATAGCCTGGTGATAACGGATAAAAGAGACAGATAGGACGTCAGTATAAGTCACAGTTATGATTTCACAGATTCGAAACAGCTTGGTAGCCCGAACGACCCCAGGCTTTCGCCCGTGCACGCTAAGTGACTTTCATTACAAGCATTTAGCTTTC